ACAAGATCAACATCAGGATGAAATAATTTTAAAAGATAAGATCCAGAAAGTCGTAAATGCTAATCACCCTGATAAACCTGTTTCATCCCAGATTTGCATTTGCGAATATGTTCGATGATTAATTATAGATTCATTGGTAGATTTGTTTTTTACAACGTAGTAGTTGCTTGCGTGGCTCCACAGTGCACAAAAGGTCTGCCTCGAATTCTGAAGGTTAAGGGCTCAATTTTGCTCTAACGCAATCTTTGTCCTGTTGACGAATTTTTTTAGCAATGAATATTTCACTTATTGCTTCAGGCCAGATCTGTTCAGTAGGAAAAGCGTCGAATTCAGAATCTCTAGGTTTTGAGTTCAAACCCTGATTATATGTTTCGCCATTGTTTTTTCTGAGGTAAGAGAGTATTATTTTATGAGAAGCGAACAGATAACTGCAATACGCGTGTGTCACATTGCTACAAACTTTTATTTTGAAACAAGGCGTCCTGGCGATTGCACAGAAATGAGACCAGTGTAATATGCTTAGCTCATGGAAAGAATTGCTGATAAAATGGCCAAATCGTGAAAGTGTACGGTAAACCGGTATTTCAACGATTATTAACTTTCCATTTCTTTCTAGACAGCGGTGATCCATATCAACTGTTTTTGAATCGATTGACGTTGTTGTTTAAGAGTGGAACACAGGTTCTGCTCTTAACTGCTCGAGACGCTTATCATGGAAAAAACAGAGGGAAACAATTAAATTCTCTAAATAATCTTCCGCGGTGGAAATGCCAAATGCGAGTGACCATACGTAATACTTCATGGATAAAATCGACGGTAGGCGATTGATTGAGAAAACATCTAGTTTATTCTTCAAACGATGATGGAAAAGAAAGTGATACAACGCATTTCAAACTGTGGGAGAGTTTTACTTTAACATTGCTGGATAGCAAGAAAATGGTGATGCTCAACAGCAGAACAGTCAATTTCAGAAAGCGTCAAATCATTCCGAATTTCATCAGATGCAAGTCAGTATTCGAAAACTGGTTTTATTTTACTGGATGAATCACTGATTTGTGGTTAAACAACAAAAATGCAGCTGCTGAGTTTAATGATGCTTTTATCAGTGACGGATTCCGTTGACAGTCCTAAAGCAACGCATTAAAATAGGATTTTATGGCGCAACGAATTCTGATCTAAATTTTATATAAAACGTGTAAGGCAGTAGCATAACTGCACCCTTTTAATTGCTCGAATGATCATTCATTGAACAAGTCTGGTGTCAATGTCATCCAGCAGAGAGCAAAAAAATTGCAATTCATTTCAACAATATAAGGTTTCATATTACTCTTTTGAAATTCGAATTCTATGTTATTTTTAAGCAGAAGTTTTATCTACGAGCTGTAAATGCCAGCATTCTTGTTGCTCATCTTAAATGATAACGAAAGAGGGACCTTACCTGCTTCAATGTGATTAAATGCCTATTCAGATCAGGCTTTGGGAAACTAGGTCAATATTGATTTAATATATTTCTGCTAGACTGACTATGACCATCTGCCATATGCAAATGACGTAGTGTTTGTCAATGCACTCATATTACAGTAAAGTATTGGACTTAGATCGTTGAGTCATTAAATCACTAAGTCTTTAATGGCCTACAAAGCCAAAATTGACAAATCGAATACATTACCTAAGAGATTTTGATCTTGTGAAAAACATTTAAATGGATTGCATCTATATATATATCTCAACTTGACAAACATAAACAGCAGGTAAGATTAATAGGAATAATTTCAGAAAGGGATATAGAAGCCATAACGCAATATCTATGCTCGTTTTGATCAGATTGCTTAATAAAGGTGAAATATTCCACAAAGTAATGCCCACCGCTATTCAATATAGACCTCACGTATATACCGAAGTAATGAGCTACAGCATAAGCGAAAAAAAGAACATTCTTTTAGTAGCCAAAAACGCTACGATTATCAGAACATCAAATATTCGGTCTTATCCATATTATTCAACAGCGTAGTTGAAACTCCTCATTATAGGACTCATCAAAATGGAAGTCTTTCATGGAATGACTAAGAAAACAGTTTCAAGTGTCAAATTTAGGTTTATTGAATATTCACTGAAATTGAATAAAACTTACAAAACTGTGTTAATCTGTTCAGTTGTGAATGTAAACCTGTAGCAATATCCTATCGTGACATGTTTGATAACTTTATTAATCAAACTTTGCGCTAAGTTTAAAGAAACGAAAATTTGTTGGTGGAATGAGATCACTCAACATATATAGCAAAACAAAGTAAAATACAACCGACTGAAAACCGTCTACAAATCACTGAACATAAAATTGATCTTAGACCTTTACTACAAATAGAAAAAATTGAAAACTAATTAACCAACACAAAAGCCAGTGTACATACGAGCACTGGTTCATTTAGTACGAAACGACAGAAAGGAAGAAAGAAGGGAAAGTAAACAACTGTCCCATTGAGAAAGTTCCCATAACTACAGTCGAACATCAACGAGATTTTGAAAAAAGTAAACTTAAAATGAGATTATAGAATTTCGGTATAGCTCCATCTTGCCAAAATACGATACGTATCGCGAGTTTGCCAAGTAGCAGATGAATGTTACTACTGAAACTATTGTTTCGCCCGATGTGAGTACCTTCAGAATTCACCGATTCAACGACGCATCACAGAGATTCCTTATATGCAAGCCCGTTCACCTTAGAAATTTGCTTCAATGAACGGAAAGTGATTTACTCTCAGGTTAGGAAAATTGCTTTATATCTAGCGGCAAAGTAGCTGAGCGTATGCAGGTAAAAACTTTCTATTAAAATGGTATGGTGTATGAAGAACCGTCAGTCGTTTGCCATACTAAAACTAAGCACAACAGATTGAACATGCGCATGGAAGGCTCGGGCTATGATCATTATGAGGCCTGAATACTATCATCTCGAAAGCTGCAATTAGAGAGCAGAGTATCTGCGAAGCTCCATACGTAACTTCTTTGCAGCAACAGATATTACAGGAAATTATAGAGATTTCCTGATGTTCAGATTCATGAGCAACATCTCGATACGTAATACACAGATTCATAGCAGAGAATCAATCCTGATGTGCTTTTCGTATAGCGTATTCAATCCTCCGCTTTGTCACTTTACTCTGAAACAGTCACACTATCACGAATAAAGAATTCATTCGAAAAAGTTTTACTAATATGGTAATTAATACAAAACGGAAAAGACTTCTCGAAGTGTTTGCAGGTGACCAAAAATGTAGATATATAAAAGTTCCATGAAAATCTATACCAGGTAAAAGGTTCGTCATTCTTCTTCTAAAACTTCCAAATATTTTGACGACAAACCTGAAAACCGAACCTCTTTTTCGATGGATGAAGCTAATTTTAAAAGAAGGTGATCACTGAAGCGATCTCCTATAAGCTGAAGTCCAATCGGCAAATTTCGTTCGGAAAATCCTACCGGAAAAACGACTGCTGGAATGCCTATAACAATATAATCAATAAAAAGTTTAATCTATGTAAAAAGAAAGCTTGCTAGCCACAGGATTGAACTTTAAGAGGTCAAGGGAATATACGGATGTCAAAGCTAATATGTTAAAGCTTTGCAACTGTTGATGGTTAGCTTGATCTAGATGGGAATGATTAATCTCTTGAGGCGATGAGCAAATCACAGAAATATTATGCGTTGGTCACTGATCAACCGCCAATAAATGCTATCAAGTAAACAGTAGAACCCTTTCTATTGAGGGCATCCTGATCAAGCAGCAGACCAATCGTCCACCAAAGTCCTGGGATGCCAAACATATTATTTAAAAAATGGAGTGACTTCGTTATTGAATCTTAAAACATCTGGGATATCCCTTTTGTGTACTGCTGCTCACCACAGGGGGTATCCGCAGGTTTTACTTACAAGTCGAGAAACAGATAGGTTTCGAAGAAAATTTCGAAACAGTGGGATGAGAAAAGTGAAGATACCTACTACCATGCAATACTGACATATTTGTTACACCCAGCGTTAAAAAAGGACCGTATTTGCAGCTTCAAATCATGAAGCATAACTACACGCCATTCGTTCATTCACGAATACACGCAGCATAAAGATCTAATTATAAGCGAACAGCAAAGAAACATACAAACGGTGGAATCTAGCTTGCAGAAGACCCAGTCTTCTAAGACAGTCATAACTCTGCATGAAAATCAGGATAATACCTCTCACCCACTGATCCGTATTGCATCGTCAGCTTAAGGTTAAAGTTCATAACATTCCTTCACAGGTACGATGTTAAAGATGGTCGAGGATGCATGAACTTTGGCAATGACGGAGTTAAATTGTTAGATAACGGGCAGAGCAAAGCGGGGAAACTGTTTCTTCCATGTCTTACACGATCTGCCTCTGATACCGAACTTGCCATGTGGTCAGTTATAACGGTTTTGTGGTGATAACGGGTAGTTAAGTTGCTTTGGCGGCGGTTGCGCTGCGGACGAGTCACCTTATATTGAGGGGCCACATACGAAAGGCCTCAAAGATTTTCACTTCTTTCATCTAGAGCACCTAGGTGTAGGCTTCACAGAAAAACATCGAAAAAAGCAATTCTGATACAGATAACTCATTATGCAGCGGCAGGGCATTCCTTGACGATGCACCAGTGTTTGACGAGTTCCAAGAGATTCCTTCATACTTTGACTCGCAATTTAGTATAACTAAAGGCAAATTTAAGGTAAATCGTCTGCTTTGAAGGTAATCAAAAGGAATCTATGCGGAGAAGTATAGGGAAAGATTCTGATCAATACGAGAACATTGAATAATAGAATTAAAATTATTCATAGATGCTAATTGCCAAGCTGCGTTATCACAAACGAGTAAATTACAGTCCAAACAAATTTTCATAAATGTATGACGCTTCGAGAATAGACAAGGTATGCTGTTTGAAGCCTGAGCCGCGCGGTGCCTGTCACGAAACTTATCAACATAGAAGGATAGAAAGTATCTACCACAAATTTATAAGCCAAAATAAACATATACCTGCCAAATTAACAGGTTGTGTAAAATAATCGTCCGTTCGCTCTCGTGTATACCCGTCTTCGTTATCGACATATTCTGAATAAAGCGGAGCATCTGATGGAGTGATTGGCGTCAAAAGCAGATCCACCTTATCCTGACGAAATAAGCGGTAGAAATCATTAGCGATCAGACGTCGAACTTTAGCCGCCTGGAGGTAAAGGGTATTAAAGTTTCTACAAAAGAAATATGATATTAAAAAAGATTACCTCAGTTACTCAGAAACCAAAAATCAGTGCTCAGATTACAGTAGATCATTACTGCCTTTAGACATATTTCATATTCTTAAACGACGAACAATATAGACATCCCATACAGACTTGAAAACACTGTTTGAATAATGAAAAAAATCTGATAATAACATGCTACAAATGAAGCTTGCACATCAATATAAATCAGCACTAGTAGAACGGTATATATTAAAATAATTTTCATTGTACCTTTTCAGTAAAAAGTAGTTGCCAGCCAAGATTCTGCGTCTGACCACCTCATTGAATCCTTCCTGCCGACTCAACGCTACCATGTTGCTCAGTGAACTGCTCTCTTCTACACGGTGGCCTTAAAACGAAGTGTGAATGTGTGAAAATAAAAAGTTGACAAATAATGTTGGGGCTGTTCAAATGAATTATCTGAAGGAATGGAACCAAATAGCGGACAGAATCATAATAAGAACATAACAAGATAACGTAAAGAGACTAAACACTGCACAACAAAGCACAAATAGAAATAATGCACATGAAATGTGTCTATGTTAGGCTCATTTATCCCGTGTAGGTTTTTGATGGTCTTCCTTAAGACTGGCACAACTTACTTGAATTTCAGCACCCTATTGGCACAGACACTCCTGTAATCGAACCTAGCAAAACGGCAATGGGAGACGCAGTGTGCAACGTCACAAACAAGAGATGCGTGCAGTTGTCGAGGATGCAGCCGTCCATGGTGAAGAGGACTGTAGCTTAGATAACAGAGTCAGTCGCTGAGCAGAGCGAAGCTTTTTCATTAACTTCCAGTTTCCTTTAGCATGCAATATATTTTACCACATTTCGATATTGTTAACCAATAAAATGAAAAGCAAGACGTAGACCTGTGAATAACATGGACAATGTGGCTTTCTGGCGTGGTCGCGCTAGAGCGCTCGTGACTTACGGCCATGCTGTCTGAGGAGTGTGCCGTACGGCTGACATTCACATAGGCCTATTAGGCAGCTGATAAAAAGTCAGGATATAAAGTGAAAATTTAAGCAATTTATTGAAATCAGAAAGAATTAAAACGTTAACGATTACCGTATTCTATTCCGTCATATCGTGCCATATTGGAAGCGATTTCGCTTTCACCAATTACATGATAACATCTAATACTGTATGGGGTATGAGGGAGTGAAACTTCGACCAATTTGCATCCAAATGTTGTTTCAAGTAGGGTTGCAACTTCCATCCACAATTTCACTACACTCTTCGAAAGGTCATCAGTAAAATATTCCTAAAGTTAAATATATGATAAAAATTAACAGTTACAAATCGATCAACCTTAGGAAGTCCAATTTTCAAACTTTTTAAGTCTTTTACAGCTGGTTTGCAACGTTCGAAATCGACGGTAGTTGAATCCTTAACGTCTATGCCTGCCATCAGTTCTAAAGTCAACAGCGAGTTAGCCGCTCATTAATAAACGGATGTGAACCTTATACAGGTCCTGAGCAAAAGCTTCTGCGTTTATTATGTAAAATGACATTTACAGCTACTTTGTGGTGGAATAAATCGTCCCTGAAGGCGTAAAAGTGAGCAATACACAACTGCTGGATTATCTTGGTAAAAATAGCTTGAATATTTTTCTCATACATAATAAATTAACAATCTACAACTATATTTTAAGTCTGGATTGTCAGACAGTTCATTAAAACAGCCATCTCATGTCACTTGTTTGACAGCCATAATTCTAAGCAGAGCAATCATGACCTTACCAGTACTATTTGGAAGCTCATCAAAGGAACGCACAAAGTTGTGAATGAGGAACTGCAACTAAAGCGTGATTAATAGCATAGCGTCTAAAGAAACAACCGTCTAAATTGGCCTCATTACCAGCCATAAATAATGTACAGTCTCTGACAATAAACCCAGATAAACTTAAACATTATAGCAAAACGAAACAGGTTGCACTAAATTTTTATGTCATATTTTAATCGAATTAATAACAGGATAAAAGATGAAGAAGTGTCTGCAAAACGCAGATCGAATGCTGACCAGAACCACAGTTATGACCGTCTTAAAACTGGCTAGAGATTTCGCATAATATTCTCATACTCTGAAAGAAGCACTATTTAAACTTATAAACTTTATGTATTTCAGCGAGTGACACCAGTCTAACTTTCGCATGACAGTACATAAAACGTATTGAAATTCCATACCGAAAGCCAGCGCAGCGTCTTCCACTTTGCGTGACAGAATACCAGGAACATCCAAAGAGTTTACAAGCGAAATCAGGCCATGCCTTGAGAGTAAGCCGTATGTTGGCTTGAATCCAACAACGCCACAAAATGAAGCAGGGTTTCTCGTAGAACCCCCCGTATCTGAGCCGATTGCGCTAAAATAAATTTTGAGAGAGAACGAACGAATTCGAAACTCAAAGGCATTTTTGGCGACTCATCTCCATCCTTTCTATGAATTCGTCAAAGTCTGGAGACAGGCCTACTTGAAAACACTTAAAAAATGTAAATTTTAAATTTTGCTGTGCCCAGTTCAGTAAAGGCGACATGGGATATGACATGAATCTGATATGTCTGAAATCTATGAAATGTACATTAATCATCTGATGCGTTATCCTATATCTCTGAATAAAAGTAATTTTGATAAAAGTTGAAAAGAAACTGTGCAAAAAAAATTCAGGGTAGATCTGAAAGATGACGAAAATGCATATCTGTCTTAACCATACTTGAAACTATGAGCCAAAAATGTTAGACAATATCGAAACGAAGAAAGGATGTTGGAATGACATCAAAATAACACAAACATGCAAAACCAGGGTCTGAGATAATCAGCTCACTGTCTGCGAATGGACGACAACAAACTCAGAAAAACCGACAATGAGGAAACACAATCGCACGATAGCCCCTGACAAGAAAAATCGACGTTGTCGAATTGAGCATTAATAAATGATTGCCCACTGGAATGAAGAAACAAACGCGGTTCTGTAAAATGCACAAGGCTTCATGTGTTGACCAAGATACCTGTGAACAGAATGAATAAAATAAGAATTAGAAGAAAGAAAATATGATAAGTGGAAAAACTATGGGATTATGGTATTAATCTTTTTTATCAGATCTCCTGAAATCCTTTTCGTTTTCTGCGCTAACCCTAATGTCGCCCTAAACGAAGAGGTGAATTACTGATAGGGTTAGTGCTATTTTTGGTTGCCCAATGCGTACAGCAAAGAAGGTATACAGTATGTTTTTCGAACGAATCTTTCTGTTTAAGGTTCGACTAGGCTCCCTAGCCCACAAAAAGGAAGGACGATGTGCTATGGCCAAGTACAAGTAT